CCCGCTTCATCTCCGTGGGCTACGTGGACGACACGCAGTTCGTGCGGTTCGACAGCGACGCCGAGAGTCCGAGAGAGGAGCCGCGGGCGCCGTGGGTGGAGCAGGAGGGGCCGGAGTATTGGGACCGGAACACACGGATCTACAAGGCCGAGACACAGGATGCCCCAGTGGGCCTGCGGAACCTGCGCGGCTACTACAACCAGAGCGAGGCCGGTGAGTGGCCCCGGCCCGGGGCGCAGGTCACGACCCCTCCCCATCCCCCACGGACGGCCCGCGTCGCCCCGAGTCTCCGGGTCCCAGATACACCCCGAAGCCGCGGGACCCCGAGACCCTTGACCCGGGAGAGCCCCAGGCGCCTTTACCCGGTTTCATTTTCAGTTGAGGCCAAAATCCCCGGGGGTTGGGGCGGGGCGGGGCGGGACTCCGGGGACTGTACTGACCGCGGGGGCGGGGCCAGGGTCTCACACCTTCCAGAGGATGTACGGCTGCGACCTGGGGCCCGACGGGCGCCTCCTCCGCGGGTATAACCAGTACGCCTACGACGGCAAGGATTACATCGCCCTGAACGGGGACCTGCGCTCCTGGACCGCCGCGGACATGGCGGCTCAGAACACCCAGCGCAAGTGGGAGGCGGCGGATGCGGCGGAGCAGATGAGAGCCTACCTGGAGGGCGAGTGCCTGGAGTGGCTCCGCAGATACCTGGAGAACGGGAAGGAGACGCTGCAGCGCGCGGGTACCAGGGGCCACGTCCCGGGCTGGCCTCCCACAAGGAGGGGAGACAAATGGGACCAACACTAGAATATCGCCCTCCCTCTGGTCCTGAGGGAGAGGAATCCTCCTGGGTTTCCAGATCCTGTACCAGAGAGTGACTCTGAGGGTCCGCCCTGCTCTCTGACACAATTAAGGATAAAATCTCTGAGGGAATGAAGGGAAGACGATCCCTGAATACTGATCAGGGGTTCCCTTTGACACCGGCAGCAGCCTTGGGCCCCGTGACTTTTCCTCTCAGGCCCTGTTCTCTGCTTCACACTCAATGTGTGTGGGGGTCTGAGTCCAGCTCCGCTGAGTCCCTCAGCCTCCACTCAGGTCAGGAGCAGAAGTCACTGTTCCCTCCTCGGGGAATAGAATTTTCCACAGAATAGGAGATTCTCCCAGGTGCCTGTGTCCAGGATAGTGTCTGGGTTCTGTGCTCCCTTCCCCACCCCAGGTGTCCTCTGTCCATTCTCAAGATGGCCACATGTGTGCTGGTGGAGTGTCCCGTGACAGAAAATGCCTGAATTTTCTGACTCTTCCCATCAGACCCCCCCAAGACACATGTGACCCACCACCCCGTCTCTGACCATGAGGCCACCCTGAGGTGCTGGGCCCTGGGCTTCTACCCTGCGGAGATCACACTGACCTGGCAGCGGGATGGGGAGGACCAAACTCAGGACACGGAGCTCGTGGAGACCAGGCCTGAAGGAGATGGAACCTTCCAGAAGTGGGCGGCTGTGGTGGTGCCTTCTGGAGAGGAGCAGAGATACACCTGTCATGTGCAGCATGAGGGTCTGCCCGAGCCCCTCACCCTGAGATGGGGTAAAGAGGGAGATGGGGGTGTCATGTCTCTTAGGGAAAGCCGGAGCCTTTCTGGAGACCTTTAGCAGGGTCAGGACCCCTCACCTTCCCCTCTTTTCCCAGAGCCATCTTCCCAGTCCACCATCCTCATCGTAGGCATCATTGCTGGCCTGGTTCTCCTTGGAGCTGTGGTCACTGGAGCTGTGGTCGCTGCTGTGATGTGGAGGAGGAAGAGCTCAGGTAAGGAAGGGGAGTGAGGAGTGGGGTCTGGGATTTCTTGTCTTACTGAGGGTTTCAAGCCCCAGGTAGAAGTGTGCCCCGCCTGGTTACTGGGAAGCACCATCCACACTCATGGGCTGACCCAGCCTGGGCCCTGTGTGGCAGCACCTACTCTTTTGTAAAGCACCTGTTACAATGAAGGACAGATAGATCACCTCGATTACGGTGGTGATGGGACCTGATCCCAGCAGTCACAAGTCACAAGAGAAGGTCCCTGGTGAGGACAGACCTCAGGAGGGCAGTTGGTCCAGGACCCACACCTGCTTTCTTCATGTTTCCTGATCCCGCCCTGGGTCTGCAGTCACACATTTCTGGAAACTTCTCTGGGGTCCAAGACTAGGAGATTCCTCTAGGACCTTATGGCCCTGACTCCTTTCTGATATCTAACAGAACATTTTCTTCCCACAGATAGAAAAGGAGGGAGCTACTCTCAGGCTGCAAGTAAGTATGAAGGAGGCTGATCCCGGAGATCCTTGGGATATTGTGGTTGGGAGCCCATGGGGGAGCTCACCCAGCCCACAGTTCCTACTTTAGTCACATCTCCAGAGGGATCTGACCAGGTCCTGTTTTTGTTCTACTCCAGGCAGTGACAGTGCCCAGGGCTCTGATGTGTCTCTCACGGCTTGTAAAGGTGAGACCTGGGGGGCCTGATGTGTGGGGGGTGTTGGGGGGAACAGTGGACGCAGCTGTGCTGTGGGGTTTCTTTGACTTGGATGTATTGAGCATGTGATGGGCTGTTTAAAGTGTCATTCGTCACTGTGACGGATATGAATTTGTTCATGAATATTTTTTCTATAGTGTGAGACAGAGCTGCCTTGTGTGGGACTGAGAGGCAAGATTTGTTCCCGCCTTCTCTTCGTGACTTGAAGAACCCTGACTTTCTTTCTGCAAAGGCACCTGAATGTGTCTGTGTTCCTGTAGGCATAATGTGAGGAGTTGGGGAGAACACCCCATCCCGTGTCCACCATGACCCTCTTCCCCACGCTGACCTGTGTTCCTTCCTCATTTATCTTTCCTGTTCCAGAGAGGTTGGGCTGGGATATCTCTATCTCTGTCTCAACTTCATGGTGCACTGAGCTGTAACTTCTTCCTTCCATATTACAATTAGAACCTGAGTATAAATTTACTTTTTCAAATTATTATCATGAGAGGTTGATGAGTTAATTAAAGGAGAAGATTCTTGAAATTTGAGAGACAAAATAAATGGAAGACCTGAGAACCTTCCAGAGTCCACGTGTTTCTTGTGCTGATTTGTTGCAGGGGAGGAGAGTAGATGGGGCCGTGCCCAGTTTGTGTTCCGGCCACCATAGGCTTTATGTGGTCACTGCTTGACTGAATCATCTTTGCTCCTTCATTGTCCTTGGCCCTTCAGTAGAACCTTGTCCCACCAAGACCTGTGATCACAGGGAGTTGGATGTCACCTAGGGCGGTCCCTGCATACAAATCTCCTTGTGGTATCAAGAGATAAATTTTCAGACCTGTCCAGATCTTGCCCTCCTCCCAGGGCTCTTTCCTGGATTGTATTTTCCATCTTGTCTCCAATCGTTTTAAAGGAACCGGATTCTGAAATTTGCAGAGAGGATGAGTCCCCTAGTTTCTCATCACAGGTAACTTTCTGTTGAAGCTCCTCTTCTGCTGTCCTACTCATCTTCCTGCCCTGAGTTGTAGTAATCCTAGCGCTGGCTCCAATCCAAACTCATGGATGTATAAAGCAGAGTCTAATTTCGATTCATATGTGGTTGGAAAATTGTACCCATAAGGCTAGGGTTATTGTTCCTGAAGAGAAAAATATGGTTGTGTGCTGCAGTGTGCAGGAGGGTTGGTGTGGGAAGAGGGGGAAGGAAGGGAGGATGCACAAGCAGCCCTGGTGAGAAAAGCACTGGCGGCATCGATGTCCACGTCAAATGATGTTGTTCTTTAGCTGCCACGAAACAACATTTGCCCTGAGGCTACATTAATAAAAATATTGGCTTTAGAATAGGGAGGTGCTCTGCAGTGATCATTCATTCCACTGACATTTGTTGTCTGCTAGGGATATGACTGCTTTTGCATTTAGAAAGCATCACTAAAGTAAAAATAGAAAAATTACTGGCGTTGTGGTACATACATTCTAGATGCAAGCTTGTCCAACCCACGGCTCGTGGGCTGCATGTGGCCCAGGACAGTTTTGAATGTGAGGACGTTTTTGCTTATCTGTGGCGGACCTGAGACCTGGAGTGGGTGCACCCACCTCCCTCAGGGTCAGGAGTGAATGCTTTAGGAACCCTCTTGTGCAGTGACCTGCAAAACATAGAGGACACGGTTACTGTGAGAACCCAGAGTAGCAGCCAAGGGGGCTCGGCCCTCAAGGAATTGTGGGGAAGGTTAATAAAAGGTGGAGTCCCAGGGTCAGAACAGATGGGCGGCCAGCGAGGGCACTGCTTCATATCTATGATGAGAATGCAAGAATTGAGGAGCAGGAGGCCGAGGGTGTTTGACCAAATACAAAGTCGTGATCCCAGTCTCAATTCCTAGACTTCAGTCAAGTTTTAGTTTCAGAATCCACAGTGGGGCTTAAGGAGGCCAGGAAATAAACCTGGACACACTATGGCCCACAGTGGGACCACTGGGTCCATAAACCCAGTCCTGGTTATCTCCCCATTCCCCACATGCATAATTGGCCTTGATGCACTGGCAACTTTGGTCACCCCCACACTGCGTCCCTAGTCTGGAGAGTAAGGACTGTCAGTGTACTGAAGCCCAAAGGGAATCCTCTAAAACTTCCCTCATCCCAGCCTAGCCAGAAGCAATATTGTGCCAGGGTGGAACTTGTGGTGGGTACTGCAGGTATTGTAGGGGTAGCACTGCCATTAGAGAGCTGAAGGATGGGCAGGGTGGGGGTGTTGGAATTGCCTATTATCTCCATATAATTCAGCAACCTGAAGAAGCCTGATAAAGCATGAATGGAATTTCTCCAGACTTGACCAAGTAGGAGTCCTGATTGCAGCTGCCATGCTGGCTGGATATCACTGCTTGGGGAGATTAATAAGGCTTCAGGCACATGGCAAGCAGCTGTGGATTTGGTGAGTGCATTCCTTCCCATTCCATTTAGAAAATGGATATGGAATGATTCACATTCAAATGGGATTTATAATACATTTATTGATAGCTTGCCTCAGGGTTACCTCAACTCCTCAACCTTCTGTAACTATCACCTTAAGAGACCTGGACAAATCAGACATATCACAGAATACTAAATCTGCTCTTTTCATTGGCAATATCACATAGATCAGGATGGAAGACCAAGAGGAGGAAAGTACGCTGAATTCCTTGGCAAAACATGTGCACTATGAAAGGTGAAGATAAACCTTACAGAGCTTCAAGAGTGGACACGGCAGTGAAGTGTTATGAGTCCAGTGGTTAGGCGCATGCAGGGCTCTCCCCTCCAAAGTAAAAGTCAAACTTGCATCTTGTATCCTCACCAGAAGGAAGGACGCACACTACCCAGCCTCTCTGGGTTCTGTCAACACCACATTCCACATCTAAGTATATTGCTTTGGCCCACACTCTGGGTGATATAGGAGGAGGCCAGCTTTGAGTGGGGCCTGGACAGGAAAGGACACTGCAGCAGACCCAGGCTGTGGTGCAGTCAGTCACCATCCCTCAGACCCCTGGTGCTGAAGGTGGTGGTGTGGGGAAGATGCAGGATGGGGTGTGGGGAAAGATGCAGGATGGAGCTGAACCAAGCATCAATGGGAGAGTCAGAATGGTGGGCCTGTGATCTGGAGTAAGGCCATGGAATCCACGACAGAGAAACATGCTCCCTGTTAGAAGCAACTTTTAGCATATTACTGACCCTGATAAGATAGAATGCTTGATCATGGGACACCAAGCAACCTGTGATTCCAAGTGCCTGTGTGTATTGGCTTCTATGTGACCCACAGAGGCATAGATGGGACAGGCCCAGAAGGATCTGTCATGAGATGAAAATGGTCCATGTGGGTTGAGCCTTAATTCCATGTTAACACCCACAGAAAACACCCAGCCCTGACGTGGCCCTGAATCACCAAACAAATTGAAGATAAATTGAAGTTAGCCAGCCGGCATCACGGATCAGCCCAGGTATGACAGGAAGCACTGATAAGTGGATAAGCACAGTGGCAGAAATGAGGCTACAAGTGGGTCCAGCAGCACTGACTCCCCCTTACCAACGACCGTCCAGCTGCTGCTTCCTCTGAATACTCTGCTTATGAGCATTACAGACCAATGATGGGCCCCATAGGGCACTGTTTCTTCAGGTAACTGACTAGCCCCTAAGTGACAAGTTGAATAGCTTGAGCCCCATCTATCCTGGAAGGGCCAGGGGTTCATCCTCACAGGGATAGGCACCTATTCGATGTGGTGTGGTTTTCCTCTCTGCGTTCACACCCTCAGCCAGCGTCACTATCTGCATTCCTGATCCCCTGGCTCAGAATTTCAGTACATTATCTGCCCACGGGACACACCTCAGAGGGAATGGAATGAAGTGTGGGCCATGACCATGGGAGCCCCTGGTCATATCAACACCTGTGCCTCCCATCAACACCTGCACCTCCCAGGGGCTGCCAGCCACACAGTCATGGACAGGTCTCTACAGGCACAACTCAGTACTAGCCTAGATGAAACCCTCTGAGGAATGGGTGCCATCTTTCAGGATGTGGTGCATGCATTGAATCAAACACGTCTCTATGGTTCTGTGTGTTCAGAAGTAAGAATACGTGGGTCCAAAAACCAAAAAGTCGAAGCAGGTGTGGCTCCATATCTCATCCCTTATATTCACCACCACGGTGATTTTGCACTTCTCATCTCCAAAATCTGGACTCTGCAGGGTAGGAGGTCCTGGTTTCCCAAAGGGGGCACCCTGGCAAGGAGACAAATGGGAGTCCATGGAACTACAGATTCTGGTTGCCTGCCCCCAGGGAAGTTTGAATAGAATGTTCCCAGAAACAAGCAAGTAAGAAGAGGAGGAGGCAGGGCTGCTATCACACAATGAGGGCAGCAGAGGTGTGTGGAAACCAGAGGTCCACGTGGGGACCTCCTGGTTCCCCTTGTCCCATTGTTCAGTGTGAGCAGAAACATGCAGCAACCCAGCCTGAGAGGGTTTCCTATTCAAGAGCCCAGACCCTTAGGAAGGAAGGTTGAGTCACACTCCTGGGTAATCTCCTAAGGCTGTGCTCCTGTGCTCTGATATCCTCAGTAGCATTGGTGCAGAAGCCCTGCTTCCCCCATAGGCTGTTCCCAGCCAGTGACTGCTAAGGCGCAGCAGGCGCACTAAGGCAGGCCATTTCTGGGAGACATGGGACTCCTCTGATGGCCAACTGTGGCGGAGGACTCCTCCATGGCCTTGCTCAACCCTCCTTGGATTGTCCGTGCTCTAGGATGCGTGGAACAAACCTTCTCTCCTTCTGTCCAGCACTTGGGGTCACACTTGCATCTTGGTCTGCTGCCTTTTCGAGGGATTTCTGGCTCACTTCCCATACACCCTTACAGGTGTGTTCCCTCATAAAATGCCACAGACTTGAAGCTCATCTTGGCATCTACGCCTTGGAGGACTTGGACTAAAAATAATTTCCATCTGCACGTCAATAACTCTTACTTATTCCAACTTGTAAAATCCTTCTCTTTATCCAACTTCTGCCACCCTCATAGAACTGATTTTGCTTGTGTTTGTAGTATCTCTTTGAGTTAACAGGTATTTTTTGTTTTAAGCCACTAAATTTTTAGGTAGTTTGTGACACAGTAGTTAATAACTATTAAGGCTTTCTGAAGTTTCTATTATTCTATGAATATTGTCCACATCTCTTTTAATTTGTTGCATTTTAATAATGTTAGCCATACTTGCCGTTTCCAGTCCTTTCCCACTATTCTTTATTGAAACTTTTTATTTCACCTTTCTCTGTCCTTCCTTCCTTCTTTCCTCCTTTTCTCCCTCAGAGCTTTCTCCCTCCCTCCATTTTTTTCACAAATGCTATGTGGTTAGGCTAAAAGGAAGCATTATTTTAATCTTATGCTAAAAGTATAATGCCATCAATTATAGAATAAAAGTAAAGAAAAGGAAGCTATTAATGGAATATGAAAAAATGCCTAAGGTGATTCTGTAGCCAAGACAGTGGTTTTTAACATTTAATCTCCACCTTCAACTGAATGTTTTCAGAACACCTGAGCAACATGAGCTCTTTCCCATTCTTGGTACAAGCACTTGGGAAATCAATTAGCCTTATCTAGTATGATTAACATCCACGCACCAAATAATCCCACCATCTGGTCCTGAGCATATACTCTGGGGATATTCTTGGCTATGTATCCAGGAGACGTGTACACCAATGTTTATGGCAAAAACTGGAAACAATCACATATACATCAATGGGAATTAACAAAATTGTGGTATCATCGCAAAAAGTAAAACTTTAGCAGTGAAAATGAATGAAGGCGGGCACGGTGGCTCACCCCTGTAATCCTAGCACTTTGGGAGGTCAAGGCAGGCAGATTGCCTGAGATCAAGAGTTCGAGACCAGCCTGTAATCCCAGCACTTTGGGAGGCCGAGGTGGGTGGATCATGAGGTCAGGAGATCAAGACCATCCTGGCTAACACGGTGAAATCCCATCTCTACTAAAAATAAAAATAAAAAAATTAGCCAGGTGTGGTGGCAGGTGCCAGTAGTCCCAGCTACTCGGGAGGCTGAGGCACGGAGAAGGCTGAACACCGGGGGCAGAGCTTTGCAGGAGCCAAGATCCTCCCCACTGGCATTCCAGCCTGGGCAGCAAAACGAGACGTCTATGTTTAAAAAAAAAAAAAAAGAGTTCCAGACCAGCTTGCACCACATAGTGAAACCCCGTCTCACTAAAAACATTAAAATTAGCCGGGCGTGTGGGCCAGGCTTGGAGGCTGTATCAGCCCACTTGGAGGTCCTGAGACAGGAGAATCGCTTGACGGGAGGTGGGAGGTTGTAGTGAGCTGAGGATGGCCGCTGCACTCCAGCCCCTGGGGCAACAGAGAGGAACTCCAATCAACAAAAAAAAAAAAAAAAAAAAATAAGACCAAATAAATAAACAAAAGAATTAAAAGGAAAAGCACCTCGCTGCATCCAAGATAACTCTCTAAGCATAAGTGCATCAAGAAGAATAGATATAGTGTGAGCCGTATGCGGAGTTAAAGAAAAAAAAAAAAAAGACAAACTGTCCGATTTGGGTATCATATATACTTATTGAAAAATCCTTTAGTGACATGCAAAGGATAGCTAAGATACCCAAGACAAGACAGAGGTTGCCTTTTGGGGATAGATTGAACATAGTCCCTAGGCGTCGGCCCTTCATTGGTCTGTCTTTTCATGCCAGGAATGCCCAGTGGTTAGTTACCTTGTCCGTAAAACTTTGTTTATTTATTTATTTAGCTTGCTCTGTCACCCTTAGGCTGAGTGCCAGGGTGAATCTGGCTCCACTGCAACCCCGCCTTCCCTGGTCAAAGGATCCCTGCCACACCAGACCCAAGAGTAGCCAATTACAGGCACGTTGGCCACAACTCCTGGCTAATTTTGGTAATTTTAAGCAGAGACGGGTTTGCACCATGTTATACCAGGCTGGCTCTCAAACTCCTGACTCAGGTGATCCAACCACTTTGGCCTCAAAGCTGAATTACAGGCAGAGCCACTGGCTCCTGAATCTTTTAAAGTGGCTTTTTCAATGCACCATGTTGCTTTCCTGATTGATTATTTGAAACGCGAAAGAAAAGGAATATACCAAGTCACCACAAGATCCTCAGCGATAACTACTCATCGGTAAAACAAAGCCCAGCTGGGGGCACAGTGCCTAAAGTCTGTAGATCCCAGCAGCTTACTGAGAAGTTGAGGCCGGTGATCACAAAGATCATCAGGAGTTCGAGACCCCAGCCCTACCAGTCCATGGTGAAACCCCATCTCTACAAAAAAGCAAATAATTAGGCTGGGTTGGGTGCACACCGCTGTCAATCCCAGCTACCCAGAGGCCTGAGGGCAGGAGAACGCTGAAACCGGAAGGCGAGTTGCAGTGAGCTGACATTGTGGCCACCTGGCACCGCAGCCTGGGAGACAAGAGGGAGACTCCATCAAAAAAACAAAAACAAAAACAAAAACAAAACAAGCCACAGCCAATTGTAAGGAGCCACGTGACAGAGAGGACCAGGATGCCATGAAAAATAGCCTTGGCTAGAAATAGGTCATTTGATCCTTGGCTAATTGACAGCTCTCTACATTTTCTGATATACAATCTTCAATCTGATGTGCAAGGCAATTGTATCTTGCAAAGAATTTGAGAATTTGAAATGTTGCTCACATAATTAAACTTTTACAGAATCGCAAATAAAAGCATTGTTGAACAAAATAAATGAAAAGACAAAGGAATAACTGGTAAGGAAATAGCAATAAGAACAGAAAACACAAAAGAGCTGCTTCTAAAGCATTGTTAGAAGCACAAAATAACTGCATTTTTCAGAATCATACTGGAGTCCAAATCACTTCTACCACATCTAATTAAAAAACATAGTGAAAGATGTTAAACTAATTATAGGATGTCCACTGAATAGCCAGTTACTGAAAAATCTTGTTCCTAGACTGGAGTTAACCATTTCTGCCTCCCACATCAAAGCAAATCATTGTCATGATGCTAAGCTAGCGTATAGGCAGAGATGTGAGACTCACATTTTTCTAACTGCAAAGCACCCTGATTAAGCAAATATTTTTGTAGACACTTGAGTCAGAAAATTTGCATTTTGGGCATTCTTAAACTGCATTAGAAACTTCTGAGGAAAAACAAAGGTAGTTATGATTGTAAAGGCATTATTGTATGGCACCAAAGTCTTGGGACTCTTTGATCTAGCTACTGTATTTTCTCAACTTTGTTGCAACTTGTCAAAGAGAATATTAATATCAAAAGCATTTGCAAAAAATCTGAGACCTTGTTGTATCTCCTTTCTCTGTCTCAAATTTTTAATCATCACTTTACAAAAAAGAATTTTAAAATATGAAAGAAAGTTAGTCAGATACAAGAAGTATTTGATTTACAAAACCCTGAAACAATAATGTTAATTTTGCTTTCAACATGCATATAAATTCTTTGATTCTCCTCCTTTCCAGAGGTGCAGCTTCATTGCCTCCCTGCGAGTGTGGCCTGGACTTAATAACTCACTTCTAACTGATAGAGTAATGCTGACGTAATAGTCTGTGACTCTGGGTATAGAACATAAAACTCATTGCAGCTTCTACTTTGGTTCTCTCTTTCTCTGGGATCATGAGCTCTGGGGGAAGCCGGCTGCTGTGTCATCAGCAGGCCTGTGGAAAGGTCCATGTGACTAGGAGTGAGGCCTCCCTGGACCAGACAACAAGAAGCTGAAGCCTCTTCCAACAGCCATGTGAGAGATTCTTGTGTCTTGTGAATTCCCCAGGCGCATTTGATCCCTCAGACAATTTAGCCCTGGATGACAACTGGACTGCAACTTTGTGAGAGGCCCTGAGTCAGAAGCATTCAGAGAAACCTCTCCTGCATTCTTGACCATTGGAAGCTGTGGCAGATGGCAAATATTTGTTGATTTGAGCTGCTAAGTTTGAGGTGACTTGTCATTGAACTTTTTCATTTGCTCTAAATTCATTATAAGATACTAAACATATCATTTGCTTTTAATATTTAATAAAAATTTACATGGCTATATAAGATATATTTTATTATCATTAACAGTGATCTATTTTTTTATCTTCAATTTGTATGTTCTATTTAAACACAAAAGGAAGATCCAGGCTATGCTAGGCTGATTCTATGATGACACCCAATAACCACCCTTGGTTACTCACGTTACCCCAGTTACTCAGTTGACACTAATGCAGGTGCTGCTGTGAAGGGGTTTTGCAAATAGATTTCAGGTCCCCCGTCGGTTGGTTTGAAGATGGGGATTATCCTGCTTGGACTGTCCTAATCAGGTAAGCTCTGAAAAGGACTGGGTTCTTCCTGAGAACAGAAACTCACAGTGTAGAGGGGTTCGGTGTGAGGGGTTTCCTCCACTGTGGGCTTTGAAAATGGAGGGATCATGGGGAAAGAACACTGGTGGCCAATAGGAATTAGAAACTCTCCCCACTGTCTACTCTGATAGCCCGAAGGAAACAGGGACCTTAGTCCTACAATTGCCAGAAACCAAATTCTGCCAACAAGCTTTACATAAGCTTGGGGGAGAATCACAATCTTAAGATGAGGGTACAGCTTTATGAAACCCTAAACAAAGAATCTCTCACACTAGGCCTGGATTTCTGATGAAGAAAATGTAGACAAATAAATGGGTGCTGTTTTAAGCCACTAAATTTGTGGTAATTGGTTATGTACTAACAGAAAATTAATAAACAGATTCAATAGCTAAACATATGACATGTTCTCCACTGGAATGAGTTTATGAACTGATATGTACAGTAGTTGCATAAAACCAAACGTTTCCTAACTTGCTTTGCATTTTTCATTTTGTGATTTTTGTGTGATGCAATTTTCAACACAATCGTATTTCATTCATTCATTCAAGAAAATTAACTAAGTGCCTACTATGTGCCAGATACGCTTTTATACTCTGCAGACACAACTTTGATCAAAACAACCCAAATCCCCTATGCTTGTGCCTTCCATTCTAGAGGCTTCTTGAGAGCGAGATGGAGCCATTGGAGTGTTTTAAGTGAAGAAATGACACAATCTGACTGTTATCCTGATAGGTTATCCTGATAGGATTTAGTAGTAGTCCTTGGTAGTGGGTGAGCCAGGCGTTACTTATCCATCGATTAGGTGGCTGTTTGAGTACACCTTCGATGGCATGTGGGGTAACAACCCGCAATTCTTGACTTATGACAAGTTTATCAGCATCTTGTACCATCAGAGCCATGGCTGCAATCATTCGGAGACAAGGGGGCCACCCGGCAGCCACTGGGTCTAACTTCTTTGACAGGTAGGCAACTGGCCTCCGCCAGGGGCCTAAGTTCTGAGTTATTACCGCCTTGGCGACACCCTTACTCTCGTCCACATATAAGTGGAAGGGCTTGGTGACATCAGGTAGTCCAGTGCAGGCACAGAGAGTAGGGCGGTTTTGATCTGTTGGATAGCCGACTCGGCTTCATCTGTCCAATTAAATGGCTGCTGCCCCCGTGCTGCCTGATACAAGGGTTTAGCCAGTTCTGCGAACCCAAGTATCCATAGTCTATAAAATCCCGCTGACCCCAGGAATTCCCTCACTTGTCGGGTGGATTGTGGCCTAGGGATCTGCAGAACAGTTTGCTTCCGGGACATTACAACAGCTGCCTGACTTCCTGGAGCCTCTGGGTCTATGGGGGTGTACTGTCTAAAAAGCTTCCATAACCTTTGTTAAGTAGGATGCTGGGGCTCTCTGTCTTTCCCTTCTGCCGTGTTGGAGTCCGCACCGCGGACCTGGTCAGAGGAAAAGGTCACATTTATGAGGTCGGGTTGGCAGTCGTTGACTGTCGGTCCCCCGGGACAGAGCTTTCTAGCTTCACCGTATCTGTTGTCTTGTCTTCCGTTGGTGGACATAGATCGGGAGGAGGTGCTGACAATCATCCCAAATGGGGCTGTGGGTGAACATGACACGTATCCAGGTAAAACGCATTAAATCTTTTGCGTTGTCTTTGAAAACCAAGCACTCTGGGTCTTCCAGTTATACAGATCACTGGTAGAGAATGGCCAGTACTGGAGCCTGGGGATTCCCGTGTCATCTGGGGGTCCTATTTCCCGAAGGGGTAGAGCCACTGTGAAGTCAGGTGGCTGGGGGCGGCTAGCCCGCGAAGTGCGCCCTCGTGTCCACCCCACCGGCCCTTCAAAGTTACTTTTACTCTTAGCGGGTCCTTGCGTGCCGGCCGCCTCCCATCCGCCTGCTCTTTCTCCTGGCTCAGCCCAGGGGGCTGGGGCCTGGGGCCCGGAGGGGTATGGAGGAGGGTTCTGTGAACAGTGGGTCCCTGCTGTCAGGTAGAACAGGATGGGGTGTCCTCGCACAGGTAGAACAGGATGGGAAGGGGCAGTTGGTTGCTTGGATTTTAGTGGTCGAGCAACCAGTGCCTTACAGGGTTCAGAGGCTAATTGGAAAGGGGACAGCCAAGGAGGCGGGTTCTCAACAAGGTCCTGCCATATGAGGATATATGGGATTTGATCTAAGTGGCCCGCATGCCCAGGTAGGAAAATCTTGGACTTTACCCTGTGATGACAGCAAGTCGGAAGGTCCCTTCGGGTGGCTACCCCACATCAAAGGCAGGCCATTCGGAGCAACACAGAGTAATTAACTTTCCTTTCCTGATTTCTATACCAAGATCATGGCCCCTTGCTCTAACTTCTTTGAAGTTACTTGTAAGGAGAGATAGAGGAGTGCTCTGAGTATTACCTATCCTGTAATAATTTGTAGTCTCTTCCTGTAAAGGAATGTGGGTTAGAATCCCTGTAAAGGAAATCTGATCTGACTTATTAATGATATCTAGTCGCAGGCTCACTTTGGCAGCCCTGGTCAGAGTTAGCTGCCTGGATCGTGATCGCGCTCGGGCAGCCCAGATCAGAGATAGTCGCTGCCTGCCAAACCGGGGCAGTTCAGATTGCAAGCGCGCACCGGAAGCCCAGGTCAGAGTTAGCTGCCTGGATCGCGATTGTGCTCGGGCAGCCCTGATCAGAGATAGCCGCTGCCGGCCAAACCGGGGCAGTTCAGATTGCAAGCGCGCACGGGAAGTCCGAGTCAGAGTTAGCTGCCTGGATCGCGATTGTGCTTGGGCAGCCCCGATCAGAGATAGCCGCTGCCCGCCAAACCGGGGCAGTTCAGATTGCAAGCGCGCACAGGAAGTCCGGGTCAGAGTTAGCTCCCTGGATCGCAATGGCGCTCCGGCAGCCCAGATCAGAGATAGCCGCTGCCCGCCAAACTGGGGCAGTTCAGATTGCAAGCACGCACCGGAAGCCCGGGTCAGAGTTAGCTGCCTGGATCGCGATGGCGCTCGGGCAGCCCCGATCAGAGATAGCCGCTGCCCGCCAAACCGGGGCAGTTCAGATTGCAAGCGCCCACCGGAAGACCGGGTCAGAGTTAGCCACTGGGATCGCGATCGCGCTCCGGCAGCTCAGATCGCAAGCGCGCACCGGAAGCCCGGGTCAGAGTTAGCCGCTGGGATCGCGATCGCGCTCCGGCAGCTCGGATCGCAAGCGCGCACCGGAAGCCCCGGTCAGAGTTAGCCGCTCCGATCGCGATCACGCTCCGGCAGCCCAGATCGCAATCTAGATCAGACGAGAGCCAGGGGACGTCTCCCACTCGTCTCCGCTGGCTGTCCTATAGCGCGTCCGCCAGGACTGCGCCAGCTCCAGTTTCAGACCTCGTTAGTCACAGATTCAGATTCAGAACAGACACAGACAGACAAATGGAGACGAGCTGGCTCACCTATCAGTAGATCGATCTTAGTAGATCCGTTGACCAGGGGTCTGGTGGGCTTGGGGAATCCCGGACGAGCCCCCAGATGTTATGCCCAGACCGTTTGTTCCCCAAAGAAGACCACCAGAGTCCAGAGTCAAAGCCAAGCGGCAAGGATCTTTACTACAAGTTCGAACTTGGTCCCTCCATTCCACAGCATACAGGAGGGCCTTGAACAATGCGAGTGCTTGCTTTTTATAGCCCGATGTAAACAGGATATGTAAAGTTACAGGGAACAAGGTAATTCTCTCGGTTACAGCATTACAATTGGTTAACATTATACATTTAGCATTCCTTATCGGAGATCTCCCAGGTGATGTTTTTCTGAAGTTTGAAAGAAATATGGAGGAATGTGTTTGTGCTGGACTCAGGAAGTTGGGAGATATATGGGGGATGTGCCTCATTCCTTTCAATCCACGTCCCTACAAAGGACAGGAACTTGAAGGGGTGGCCTGCCCCTCCACACCTGTGGGTGTTTCTCGTTAGGTGGAACAAGAGACTTGAGAAAAGAAATGAGACACAGAGACAAAGTATAGAGAAAGAAAAGCGGGGCCCAGGGGACCTGCGCTCAGCTTACAGAGGACCCACACCGGCCCCAGTCTCTGAGTTCCCTTAGTATTTATTGATAATTATCTTTACCATCTTAAAGATAAGGGAGTGGCTGGACAATAGGATCATTGTAGGGAGGAAATCAGCAGTAAGACGTAAGAACAAGAATCTCTGTGACATGAATAAGTTTAAAGGAAAATGCTGTGCCTTGAGATGCATATGCAAACATCTCCATAAACCTTTTAGCAGCATTGTTTCAGC